CACACACACACACACACACACACACACACACACACACATACACCACCCCAACACACACACACACACACATACATAACTGATCTAATTGGAGAGTTGTAAAGGAGGCTGCTTCTCTAATTAGCTTYTGTCTGCCTCATTGCCCAGCTGCCTTTACAAGAAATTCACTCCATCGCTCTCTCCCTCTATCGCTCTCTGTCCACCTGCTGCACAGCCTCCTGCTCCCCACCTGGGCTTCACACGCACACACACACACAATGTGGCATGCATATAAATCTAAACAGAGGCACTCCCCTTATATTAGAGAATCCACACATTTAGTGTATGGTTGCACACACACACACACACACACACCCAGCAGTGTTCTGCCCAGTGTTTACAGATTGTGCAGTAAACAGGCTGTTGAGGGGAGGCTGTAATCCGGTAAGGGTCGAGCTCAGATCTGATCAGGGACTGAAGCTACTTCATCACTGTCATCAGTACATCCAAAATGAAATTACAACCACTTACACCGCAGGGCTTTGGCTTGAAGCGGCGAAAGGTAAAAACACGGGGCAGGAAGAGGTGTCGAGTGACGTAAAAAAAAAAGAAAGAAAAGGAGGCCATGCTCGAAGCACCCGTGGGATTTGCGAGCATGTGCCTCTGAAACAACAGATAAATGACCACCGTCTCATTTGGCGGAAGGCACGGTGTGTTTTGTGACTTATATGGTTGACTTTGCTCTCCCTCTTCCCCCTTTCCCTCTCATTACCAAAGGGGTCACACACTCATGCAACTCCCAAAGCAACACTTTGATACAGTGGGGCATCCATCAAACTCACATAACTCCCTGATGTTGGAAAGTAGGAAGATTACAGTTCTTAGATCCAAAGAACTTAAACACAACAATACGAAACCTGTTTAAAGTTGATACAACAAATGAGGAAAACTGAATGTTTTAGATCTTTTCTGGTACAATTTGAGCAAATAAAGGCATTCATGGTTGATGAGGGAACATAGTATAGTAGTTGCAGAGCTAACTGAGATGTAAATGTTTACATCAGTGAATCAAGCTGCAGGGAACCAAAGGCCGGGATTTAGTCCAAAGTCAGACGGGAGCTACGTTTTTTCCGGAAGGACACAGCTGCTGCTGAATATTTATGAGCTCAGACAGTTGGCGTCTTGTCTGTTTGCTTTTTATATCAAACCAGGGATGCCTGAACCAATTATGTCAGCAATTCACAGCCAATCAGCAGACAGCGTGGAACTGGTGAATTTGCATACACTTTGAGAGAAAAGCGAGGAGGTGAACTTTAAAGCACAGACGTTAATGGAAACAGCGCAGGAGCCCTGGTAGGACTTTAAGAATGAAACAAGAAACAAGAAGTCGTTACAGTTTTGATGAGGCAAGCGTTTCCTTAACAAATCCCACCTCTCTGATGTCAGGGAGAAAGAGATCCACAGCAGACAAATGTTGGTATTTATTGTGGTTACAAAGTAAGCTAGCAGGACAGTTGAAAGGTCAGATTCATGAAGTGGAGCAGCACAAAGAGGGACTAAAAAGGCCACCATGACCCAGTGGCTGCTGGCTGTCAAAAATACTACTTGATGTTGCTGAGTGTAACGAATGACCTACGCTCTTCCCGTGTTTTGTACCGTAAAACAATATTCACATTACATAAAGAAAAACAAAATAAATTCAGTCATGTTTCCCTGAGTTTGTTTTTTGTTTACCTCAAATTTCTTGACGATGCCGGCGAAGGTGGGGTTGTTTCTGCAGCTCTCCTCCAGTAACGACATGCTGCGATCGTACTCCGAGATGTAAGTGTCAAACACCCCAAAATCCTCCCGGCGGCTTAAGATCACATCCACCATCTTCTGGTTCTCCTCCCTTTTTTTTTGGCAAAAAACAAAAACAAAAAACAAAACAAAACTATAATTTTAAGGGAAAAATCTCATTTTAATAAATCCAAAACTTAGGATGTGGAATCTTGGAATGTTTTATTTTTCTCTAATTTATTTTTAGACATTTTTATATTATTTTAATGCAAATATCTATAAATCTTCACTAAAGAAGGTATTTGCTCCCAAAAAATGCTGTGTTTTTGTGAATATGTTAAATTAGTGTTCCGTCTCTTATCTGGTAAACCTTTAACAGATAAGAACCTCACTTACATTTGGAACATTATTTATTGCCCTCATTGCCAAAACGTCTTTATTTAACACCATAAGTTTGTTTTTATTGTTTACTTTTGTCAAAACGATAAAAAGAGATAATTTCTGAGGAAAGATACAAAAAACATATTTATTCAAAAATATAACATGTCTAATATTTTTAGTTTAATACATTTTAAGACATTTTAAGTTAAAAAAGAAGAGAGTATTTTCTATTTTTTGTCACTTTTCCACCCAGAAATCAACACAGTTTAATAAATGTCACCAAAAATGAATTAATTTCCCATTCTACTCCATAAAATCGAAAATTATTTAGCATCTTTTGGCCAGAATAGAGATAACATTGAGGTTACCAGTTGCTAATCCGCTCCTCCAGCTCAGCTAAGATGCTGCTGTGGAGGTCGTAGGCCTGCGGGAGCACGCCCAGTATCTCCCCCAGCCTCTGCTCATCCAGCACCGGCTCCCCGTCTTCCTCCACCGCCTCCGTCACCGCCGACCTAAAGTCCTGCGCAGGAGCGGAGGTGAGGGGCAAACGAGGTTACGGAGGAAAGTTATTCAAGAAGACAAAGGTGTGCAGAAAATACAAATACAAGGAATGAAGGAAATAGCTGTGGGGATGGAAGGAGGATGGGAGGGCAGGAGAAATGAAAAGGCACAGAGGAATGAGACAAATGGAAGGAAGGTCAGATCCTCCTAAACATCCTTCCTGCTGCCCTCCCTTCATATTATCTCAGTACTCTGGTCTCTGTCCAGGCATTCAGGAAAGGTGGCCCCCACTCACACACCAGGTGTTTCTGCATAATGACCACTCAATGATACAATGATATTTTGGACTGAGATCCCACTTTTAATATCATAGACAGCAGCTTAACTTATTGATGTATCTCTTCATTGGCTCCTTTAAAGTGCACACAGCACATAAAGTCTGAGCAACGAGCATTAATAACTGAAGTATCAGTGACTAATAAGATATTTATGGCACTTTGGAGGGAAAGATCAGAAACGGATTTATCCTGAACTCAAAAGGAAACTGGAAATGGGTGAACCATYAGGAGCGTTTAATTTTAGCTTCTCAGTCTGCAGATCCATGACGTGTCTCTAAAGAACAAGAGTCACAGTTGTCTCGAGCACAAGCATAAAACAAACAAGTGTGTCCAGCCAAAGCATGAGATAATGTAATGAAACTGTTGATATTTATCGAGCACAACCAGCTCTGAGTCATCGTTAAGTCTAGTGAAAAACAAAAATAGTAGTCAAGTTTCAAAACTTCAAAGAGAAGCTCTATCTCCATTTTTACCCATTTGATCGCCACCTGATACTCATTTTTCAAAAAAAGAAAAAAAAAAGTCAACCAAAGCTCCAGATTGAGACCTCAGTTGAACAGATTTGCTCAGTCATAACTCGGCAGARAAGTCAGGGGTCACCGAGGAGAAACGAAAGAGTGCGAGCCTCACACGCTGAAGCCGTTGTTGGGAAAATTCATTTCGAAGAGGAGCACGGCCTCCCTTCCTATGTGGAGACACGGCCTGGAAATTCTTTGTATTCTTGTTATTTCTTATCAAACAATGGAACAATAGCTCATGTGTGCCTCTCACTTAACGCAGCTCCTTGTTTTTTTCCCAGATTGTGTGTTGGTACATGCTGTGCCGCCGCCTCCGGCTGCCGGCTGAATCACTCACTATAACTGTAACGTTGACCTGCGTGTAAGTTCAGTAATTCAGAAGATCCCAGTGTGAAGAATTATAATAACCCAGTGATCTGCGTTATGCAACAACATGAGGACAAAATATTCAGAAGTGACAAAAAGGATTCATGATTGTGTTTTATTATATCATAATAAAGTATTTAGAAATAAACCATCACCAATCAAATTTTTGTGTTTTTACCCCAAAGCTTTCTGACAGTTCATTAAAAAAAAATAAGAATAAAATTAATACAAAAATAAAAAAAATTTAAAGTTTTTTTTCATGAATTTACCGTATTTATTGCTTTGGCTGATTTGAAAGAATGTTTGTTTGTTGTGTTGTTTCAGTGGATGGCAGGATTGTGTCATGTTTCAAGACATCACTGCACTAATTTCTTGATTTCCAGGCAATACCTGGGAAAATTAAAGGTTTAGCATTTCTTGATGGGCCACCACCTTTCACACCAGTGTTTTAATCTAAAACCATTTTATTTTAAGGAATTTCAGAGTAATAATCTTTTTGTTTTTGGTCAATCCTTTAAAATCAAATGAAGCGTCAGTTTGTGTTAGAGGTGACTCTCAGCTACTATCACCTCAATTTTTAGATCAATATCTTTTAAATTCACTGAGTTGTAGCCATTTAATAACTGGATAACCTAAATCATCTGTGGCCTGGCAGCCATCTTGAATTTGGCTTACTCTAAAAGTTAGTTAGTTGTAAAAATACATTCAATGTTTTTATTTTATTTTATGAAAATCTGTCCAATGGTTCATGAGATATTTTGCTAACAGACAAAGAAGGCTGACCCCTACAATGAATAAGGTTTTAAGCAAAAAAAAATTAAAAGCAAAATGAAAATGAGAAGTATTTGGAGTATTTGTTGTCAATGACTCTCATCTGGAAAAAAATTGCTCAACATCTGTCATATAGTTATGGTTATAGCCATTTTTGTGCTTTTTTAGATCAGTTGGCTGTTGCAGCCAACTTAAAATGGGTTGGCTCCAAAGGTTAATGTCATAGAAGTGCATCTAATGATTATTTCCTGCCAGTTTCTTTAAAATGCAATGTTGTTTAAAATATATTTAGCTAACAGACAGATAGAGTTAGCTGTCAAAAACCCAATAGGAAATAATTAAACAAAGATATTGTGCATTCTGTTAGCGCTCAGAAAATCCATAGGGATCAGTCTCAACTAGTTCCACACAGATTTTTATGCCAAAAGTTATAAAATTAAAGAAGCGATTTTTATGTTTTTAAATTACGTAGGCTGTGGCGGCCATTTTTAAGTGACTGCAAACGTTAATCTGTTGTAGTTGTACATCCACTTATTCACTTCTTCATGAACCACTAAAAGTTTTTCAGTGGTTCATGAACTACTTTGACAACAAACACAAAAACAATACCATCCACCTTCACCCTGTAGCAACAGGAGATAATAAAGGGCAAAATTTAGTAGGATTTCATAAATGAAATACAAAAGGTTCAATCTAAAGCACTAATGCTTATATGGAGATTAAAAAAAGTGTTTTTCCTTTGACTGGCAGCAGCTACTGAGTATAAATGAGTTTTGTGGTGGTGACACTGCAGGTTTTTGATCACAGAGGAGCCTGATGTTTTAAATTGACATTAATTACTGTTTAAGGGCATCATATTACATAAAACAGCTGTTTTGGACTTCCAGCAGGTTTTTCATAGATCATGATATAACGACACATCAGAATTCAGGTCACTTTCGAGGTTAGCGGGAACATGCCGACTGATGGGTTTCTGTCTGGGATTGCAGTGATTATCTGATCAGCTCTGTCAGCCATCATCCAAACAGCTACAGGCTTCATAATGTGTTGTCTGTCTCAATTCTTTACATGATCACAGGCCAAGTGTTATGATATTTGATGATTTAGCTACAATATGTTTAATTTGTGTTGTGTATTGACGTCATTGGCTTTAACAGGGATGTCCAATTCGGGTCGTCAAGGGTAGCTGTCCTGCGTGTTTTAGAGGATTTTCTGCTCAAACACACCAGTCTTGAATGAATGGGTGATTACCAGGCTTCTGCAGAACTTGAAGAGCTAATTTAATCATTGAAACAAGTAAAGCATGCAGGATATAGCAGCCTTCAAGGTCCAGGATTGGACATTGTGGCGCAGTAACTTTTGAGCTATCTGAACTCTCTCAAACTCTTTTTACTCCCTGAAACTTTACACTCCCTATTAGTAGAGTGGATGATTGTGATACAAGCACCAAATCTAGTATGATGACTCTCTGAGGTATTTGTCAAATCTGCCCAATTGACCATTTGAAAATCCAAGATGGCAGCCTTTTTTCATGATGAGCTAATTTATCTGACAGCAATTATGTGGTAATGCAATTACTTTGGTCAATTTGAATTCTCTTTATATTTACAACCCCAATTACAATGAAGTTTAGCCTGGCCCTTGCCTTCCTACACAGTTCCGCTCAATTCTAGTTTCCCTTCACTGCTCCGTCTGGGATTTCTCCTTTATAAATATTCATTTATTTTGAATTTGATGGCTGCAACATCATCCAAAATGCTTGGACAGGGGCAACAAAAGACTGTGAAAGTTGAGGAATACTCAAAAACACCCGTTTGGAGCATTCCACAAGAGAACAAGTTAGATGGAAACAGGTGACTGTCATGACTGGGTATAAAGGAAGCATCCCTGAAAGACTCAGTCGTTCACAAGCAAGAATGGTGCGAGATTCACACCTTTGTCAACACCTGCGTGAGCAAACAGTCCAAATGTTTAAGAACAAGGTTTCTCAAGAACAGTTGCAATAAATTTAAGGATTTCTTCATCTACAGTCCATAGTTTCATTAAAATATTCAGAGAACCTGGAAAAATCTCTGCAAGTAAGCAGCAAACCTGAAAACCATCAATGAATGCCCGTGACCTTTGACCCTTCAGGCAGCACTGCATTAAAATTCCACATCATTCTGTAACAGATATTAACACGTGGGCTCAGGAACACTTCTAAAAACCATTGCCAGTGAACACAGTTTGTCGCTACATCTATGAGTGCAAGTTAAAGCTCTACCATGCAAAGCCAAAGCCAGATATCAACAACACCCAGACACGCCCCCGGCTTCTCTGAGATGGACTGATGCAAAGTGAAAAAGTGTCCTGTGGTCTGATGAGTCCACATTTCTAACTGTTTTTGAAAATTATGGATCCGGGTCAAAGAGGAAAAGGACTGTCTGGATTGTTATCAATGCAAAGTTCAAACTCCAGCCTCTCTGATGGTACAGTGGTGTATTATTGACCATGGCATGTGCAACTTGTACATCTGTGAAGGCTCCATTAATGCTGAAAGACAGGCYTTGGAGMAACACATGCTGCCRTCCAAGCCACGTCTTTTTCAGAGACGTCCCTGTTTATTTCAGCAAGACAATGGCACATTCTGCACGTGTTACAACACCGTGGCTTCGTAGTAAAATAGTGTGGGTACTAGACTTTCCTTAGTTCCTAAACGCTTAAGGAGTGATATTAAAATGAAAGGTGATTTAACACAGTGGCAAACATGACCCTGTCCCAACTTTTTTAGAACATGTTGCAGACATCAAATTCAAAATGAGTGAATATTTGCAACAAACCAATAAAGTTTATACATTTGAACATTAAATATCTTGTCTTTGTAGTGTTTTCAATTGAATATACTGTAGGTCAAAAAGTGTTTGCAAATCATCGTATTCTGGCTTTATTTGTTTTGCACAATGTCCCAACTTCATTGGAATTGGGATTGTACATGTAAGGTGAAGCTCATGGTATCAGGACTCCTTACAACAAACCATTCCAGAAAACAAAACAACAACTTTGTCAAGACCAGGAAGTAAATGTTGCTGCAACAACACTGATAAACTTGCAGAGACTCTAAGGGAGAAGAAGGAGGAGGATGAGACAGAGACTGAGGAGCAGACATGTATAATTGGATTATGTTAGTGGATTGCTCAAAAATCTTTCATTCAGAAGAGATTTAAAAGAGGTTGTGGTTGGGGCAAAGAAAGCTTTCCTACCTCCTGAATGTGTTTGAGGGCAGCGACGTGTCTGCAAAGACAAGAAAAGATTTACATTAAACTGTAGAAAAAAACTTGCAACCTTGCGAACAACTCGGTCTATTTTTCTTTGAGACTCATTAAATTATTTAAGTGGCGCCTTAAGAAGAAATTACTTCTGAGGAATAGTTAAGTGTGCAGCAGGACACTTGTGTAATTGGCTGCCCACTGTTTGATGGATTATCAATGCAGCAGAGATTAGTTGAACTGAACTGCAGTACTAAAGGGACAGTAATAATAATAATTAGAAAAGAAGTTCAGGTTTTGTTTGGGTTAAGTTTAAGGCTAGGGTTAGGGTTAAGGTCAGGGTTTGTAGTTGCATCCATGAGAATGGACCGTTGTGGGGTAGTCCCACAAATGTAGGTACTCACAGTCTCTCTGAGTCGACAAGCTCCTTGGCGATGTAAAACGCTCGGGATCGACCATCAATCTGTGTGACAAGAAGGTAGAGTGGTGGGAGATGAATGAACACAGTTAATGTTAAACGCTCTCTGCGGGCACTCAGTCCTCTCAAACATTAATAGCAACAACTGYGCCAGAGCTGAAGAAGCTGACAAAACAGCAATTTATTTTTCCCTTTTTTTTCTTTTTGGATTTCAGTTGTCAAAAGAAGACAGATTATTTCATTACTGCGACGCTAAAACATGACGTTTTCTCAAATAGGAGACRTTTAAACTAAGATGCATTATTAATGAGTGACAGTGGCAAAAAGGCTGCACATWGATTTAGCGGCTAATCGTTGGGACTCAAAACATGACAAACAGAGTTATGTTGAGGTCATTTTCTGGCCTCTGTCCTTATTCAGTGTAATACTTAATTATTTAAAAAAAGGACAAAAAATCCCCCCAGGGCTGACTCAAGTCTTTCCTGGTCACTTCCTTCTTGAATTTTCTTTGTTCGATTTATTGTAACTTGTCTTTGAAGAGRAAGAAAACAAGGAAATGCACGTCACATGATGAGAACAGAGGGGTTGTTTTGATATTGTGACAGCAGCAGGATGGGTGAGGTCCATCTCAGCACTGCTGTAAAATACTGGCTTTTTAAAGTAGAAATATWTGGGAAACTCAGGATTCATCAAATCAGCTTCATATTACCAAAGGAGGGGCCAGTCATTTGTTTCTCTGCATCTTATTGCTCACCTGTCGGTCAAAGCTTTGCTCCATGACGCCATCTTCCTCCTCTGACGTTCGTCCGTGGTCTTCATCAGCTGACTGCCCATCAGAGACCGTGTTCACTGGGAAAGGCTCTGTGTAGGCACTGTTAAGAGGCGAGAAGTCAGCRTAAAAATAGCAAAACATCTTCAGTGAAATATAACAGCAAACGTTAAAAGGCGAACAACAACCCTGTCTTTTCATTCGGGGGACACAAAGMAGCATGAGGGACACAAATTCCCAAATGCACCTTTTCCAGTAAAAAGCCACCATATTCTCACAGGACATGTTCAAATTCATATCAAAATCCCCAGTCACCTGCAAATGTATGTTTTTTCCTGCTTCCTGTGTGCATCTCTGAGCATTTCAGTTCAWATGAAGAGCCCTTCGGAGGTTCGCAGTAATCCCTTTACGGATTAGCTTCTAAAGAGATGGCACAGTCGTTCCTTTAATCCCTCTGTATGTTATACCTGAAGGGATTTACCATGGAACATTTTACATGTAATCCCTTTTAAATGCAACTTGCACTAATTACTTATACCCCTTTGGCCCATTATGACACACTGAGGATGTTTGACAGCAATCATATCAGCAGGAAACTATAAATGTGACAATGTGCGGTCACAATGCAATGCTTATGGATTTATCATCTCCGGCTGCCAAAAGGTCAAGGTGGACAATAATGTTTTAGCTTGTGTCTGTATCTGTGTGACAGKTTTTTACAAACCAAAAGATTCATTTTATTTTAACTTGCGCATCATAAGCAAATCATTGCATGTACATGTACATCTACCTCTGATTAGCTTTTGGGGTCAACCTAATTCAAGATGGCTTCCACAGCTAGTTGACCTTATAAAGCTCTTGGTAATTTTAGCTAATTTTTCAGGAAACAAGCACCGCATGTTCCTTATATAAGTGAAWAACTTTTGGAGCCAATCCAATTCAAAATGACTGCCACAGTCAAGTGACATTGAAAACATAAATGGCAAAAATTCTGTTAACTTTGGTGAGGTAGTAGGAAAGTGTTATTCACAACACAAACTTAAGTGCTTTTCATTGTTACAGTCAAACCTGTCTGTTTTCCCCCTGCAAAATACCTTATAAACAATTGAACACTATGAATTAAACTTCTATAAAGAAATTATTGGACGTGATTAAAATTTAGAATAAACCTGATTCAATAGTTGCTACAGAACTCAACATCAGTCAACACAAAAATGGCTRTACCTCAATAAATTTGACAGAAATCTAAAATCTGCTGTGGTAGGTAGCTGAGAGTTGTTCCTAACAATACTCTTGGGATCTTGTGGTACTACATTGAGTGGTGTCTCAATACTGATACTGGTAAAATGCCCCAATACCATTTGGACATTTGCATTTTAAATGCAACCTCCRTTAGATCACAKTATGAAYGCTTTATGATGTCAATATGACCCACKGGTGCAGCAGATGACGTCCCATCCAGAGAGCTCTGTTTACAGGAWGTTACGTAGAMGTTACATGGATAAYACATGGATCTGYGGATGCTAYTTGTTAGCATGTCGAKTCTGAAGTTGTGCKATCAGAGCTGGTTAAATAATTATATTATCTGACATGCTTGTTTAGTTCACTGGTTACATTCTTCCACCTTTGGCTGCTCTGGTACAGAATGTTTTTATGGAACAAAATGGTATCATATATTACTGTGGATTCTGACCCTGGATTTACACTACATGCGTCTCCACTCCGCTGCGCTGAGGTGCGCAGTTCACAGATGTTCGTTTGTGCCCCAATTTACACAGCCTCCGTTCTGCTCAGCTCCGCTCAGGTGCAACAGACAGAGGAGGGAGCATGTGCAGGAAGGAGATTGAGCGATAAATCCAGTGATGTGGAAGTCAGAGCAAAAAATAATTTATTCTGTGGAAGACGAACTCCAAATACAGCTGAAAATGTTGATGTAAAGGCTTTTGGTATCTATGTTGAAACTGTCTCGCTGTCGTCCTTTTGAAACTTCTGATTTCAAAATAAAATCCATGTGTATGTGTATGTACACATATGCTTCATGCTACATGTTTCCATCTGCTTCCCAAACAGAACGATACATTCTGACAGCATTTGTGTAGAATATATATCAATATAYTGATTGATATAGCTGGGATTTCGACATTATTGCGACAAATTATTCAGCCGAATAGTGTCTTATTTTGAAAATACAGATGTTGTGCTCGTTTCTTTTCCTGTTGGTGTGACATAATCTTTAAAAATTGACTCCGGCGCAGCTCTGGCATCTGGCAAAAATAGGATCGGATCTAATTTTGCTGGATCGCCATCTGCTCACGGCTGCTCACCACTGCCGTGCGGAACCAGTGTAAACACTTTCATTGATTATAATGGGTGCGTATTTGCTGCGAAGGTCGGACCGGAGCAGAGCGGAGCCAGAAGGCATGTAGTGTAAATTAGGGGTTAGTCATCCAGGACAGAAAATTCGAAGAAAAAAGACGAAGCAACTGGACTTTAGTTCTGTAGCTGAAGACGTGGAGCTACAAGATTTAAAAAGTATGACTCAAGGTTGACATCATTCTTACTTGGATCAACACATATACGCAAGCTCACTGATGTTAAAGTCATACAAAATACAATATGAGCATTCAGATGACAGTCATTATATCAAACATTYGATATGTATTGATTTRTAACCAGGTTCTTWAAAAAGTGTTTTRTAATCATTGTGTAATGCAAGTTCYATCTCACTAAATACTCGATATWAGCGAATACCCAAAYTGAAGTACTTGTCCTCAGTTTGAGAAAAACTGTTATTGGGACACCGCTAATTGCATAGATTTGGGCATGATGTTATTTAATGTTAAACTGCTACATTTTTGTAATTTCTCAACAAAAGGCGAATGCAGCTGTGGCACGAAAGCCAGTGGGAGATACGCATTCATCCAAGGAWCACTTAGCATTTAATTCCTTTTTAACTTGCTATCATGAGGGCTATTGGGTAACCTGCTTTTTCTGTAATGGAAAATAAAATATTGATAATATTATCCAACAATTTCTGACTTTAAACTGTAAAAAAGTCTATGTTCCTTCACACACCTGTTACTGATTCTTTGCCCAGATGTTTGAAGCAGCCCTCAGTGTGAATGAGGTCTAAACTACTTTCAGAAGACTAAAGGTTAACAGAGTTATCCACTGGACCTCATTTTCATTCAGACATCCTTCACACGGCTCACTCTGCACTTCAAGCTTTCGGTTCCACACACACAAGCAAAAACCTCTAACAGCCTTTTGTGGGTGGGCTTGTGAAAAGCACCCACGGCCCATTACTCATAGTTGACCTCGGACCAGTCGGGTCAGCCTGGGCTCCTGTGYGCTGCGGTGAAGGAAAGTAAAACTGGAGGGGATTGTTCTTCTCTGAACTCATTCCTCAGCTCTGATTTATCACACAATCCATCAAATGACCAAGAGCAACTCTTGAGAGGAGGTTCACCTTCACCTTTTTCTTCTTCCACAACCACAGTCCTCAATTATTTATAGGACTGCTCCACAGAAACAGAAAGCATAACAGAGTGTTGCATTTGTAAGACTTTACTGTTTCAAAGTGGCAGGATTTGTAAAAAAAAAAAAAAAAAAAAAAAAAAAACAGCACGCACAACTGCTACTTTAAACATAGTTAAACAAATGCGAACTCTTCAAGGTTGTGCCACAGTAATATAATAATAATAAGACTATTAAAACAATGCTATTATAGCAGATAACACRACAAAGTTAAATCTACTGTGTCAAATTTAAGGGCAAAATGATTCCACAATAAAAATACAAACGCTTTCCAACAGTCTTCAATGAATTTGATGGTGCTTGTAATACSTAAATCAATTGAGCTAAACACTGCCTATTATAATATATACTGTATTAGAGCAGGTCTTTTCCTACTTGTAATGGCACCATTATAAGAATCAAGACCAACAGAATGGGTTCATTAGCTCGCTAACTATAGAAGAGTGTGATACTAATGGAGGGGAATAAGAACAGAGACAGCTGTGCTTGCTGCTTTTAGTGAGGAGGGATGTTTGTAGGTTGTGTCGCCTGTGCAAAATAATTGAAGCCAGTGGATTTATGATTGTCGTGGCTTTGCATGTGATGGGACTGACTCAGGATATTAATTTGATATTGTGATGTTTGTGAATCAGGACCACAAATGAAATTAAGTTTAATGGAAGTGGGAGCTAGGAGTCCCAACACATGACAAAAAAATACAGAAATTTCTTAACATACGCTTTTCATTTTTCATGAAGAAGCACATGACTCTTAACAGGATTTGCACATTCATGCTGAAATCGATTCTAATCTTTTGAATCAGTTTCTGCACTTATAGTGTCATTAATCACGAAGAGGGTTTTCATGCTGAAAAGACAATGAAAAACTGACCAGTGACACCAGTTCAAAGACCTCAGTAATTAGTTCAGCCAKAAATGAGTATATGAAAATGATGACTAAAGTTATTTATGAAGTTGTCTCACCTTTGTACCATACTGTATACCTGACTATAAGAAGAGCTGATACTTCAGGGTATGTGTGATCATGCCATGTGAAAAATATACATGTAGCATGAAGGTAGCAACTTTGAAATCATGATATTCTATGTTATCACTCTTGCACTGCCATGGTTCTGTGGAGTATTTGTAAACACACACACACACACACACACACACACACACACACACACACACACACATACACAATAATATAATATAATAAACGTTGTTCATTAAGTTATGTGTTTGCAGCTGCATTTTTTGAGTATATTTGGTGTTGTATGTAGGAGAACCAACATTTACACAACGCTTTTACAATTGTATCTGAGATAAACAACACTAGTATAAGATCAACTGTTTTTACTTGGCACTTGTTCTACAAATTCAGAAGAAATTGACAATGTGCTGTTGTGGGTTTGGCTTAGATTTTACTTGAAGRAGACAACAGAAGATACATCATCAGACTGAGATCTATCAGAGYACAATAGAGAACTTGCAAGAAGATCCAGAAGAAGGGACATCATGTCTACATGCTGACAGAAGACTGGCGTTCAAACAAAACAAGCTCAGAGATAAACCGCAACAACAA